TTTGATATCGTTGTCTGATTTTGTTTTGAGAGGAGGCTACCCCGAATCAGAACTGGCCAAATCAGAACTACCCCGAATCAGAACCGGCCGGATCAGAACCTAAGTTCGTGACCTTGCGCGGGCTCTACTTCTAAGAATACGTGAGATGTAAATTTGAATAATTGTAGAAAATTATTTCGCTACAAATTGATATATTCACATCTTTTGATTTTTCAAAATCAAAGCCCTAGCAAGGTCACACACTTTGGTTCTGATACGGCTGGTTTATATTCGGGGTAGTTCTGATTTGGCCGGTTCTGATTCGGAATAGCCTCTTTGAGAGGGAAGCTGGGCAAAATCGAGAAAAGGAGCAGAACTGTCCAAAACTACCAAAAGAGAAATTATCGTGAGAGATTAGGGCATCATTACTCTTTTCCCAGAAGTCTTGCATTGTTTTCGAGGATCGAGTTTTTTTCAAACATTTTTTTTCAGAATTGGCTAATCAATTTCAGGCATGAACGCGAGCAGTTAGAGCAAATTTTCTAAGATGCTCCGTTGCACATACGTGGGTTCTTTCCTTGTGATTGACGTTTATTTCACCTGAAAAAAACCGGAGCATCATTGTGAGTCAAATCTTTGGAATAGTTTGCTTTGAAATTAATGAAGTTATTTCTTTTCGGACTAAAGTACAATTCTTATTATTTGGTCAATTCCCTTATTTTGTATTATTTAGATTGAAAGATCCTATTTATTCGTTTGTCGGAATTGAGCAAAACGGAGCGTGTTTTCCACGAATGCCACTACAAAGCACCATTTCGATTGTGACGTTGGTTCTTCGAACTAGTCGAGTGCCAGGGATTAGATGTGGCTAGTTTGATATCATTGTCTTATTTTGTTCTGAGGGAAACGCTGGGCAAAATTGACTTAGAGGGAGCGGAACTGTTTGAAACTACAAAAAGAGAGATTCCAATTGAAAAAATCAGGAAATAATAGATTACTTGACTTGTTTTCCTCAAATGCCACTACAAAACATCATTTCGATTGTGACGCTGGGCTCTGAAACAGTCGAATGACAGAAATCAGGACATGACTAGTTTCATATTGTTGTCTAATTTTGTTTTGAGGGAAATGCTGGACACGATAAGAAAAGGAACGAAACTGTTGAAAAGTACAGAAAAAAAAGTGATTTTAATTGGAATAATTTTATAAATTTTTCTCCAGAAACATCGCGAAGAAAAAAATTTTCAAAGACATCATATCGGATAGTCTTGGAATTAGTCCAAATATTTCAGCCATATAATTTTTACGAATGCAAACAGAAAAGCATTTTCTAACATAATCCGCTGCACCTACGTAGGCATTCTTTTTCCTTGAGAAAAGCGTTCATTTCCACTGAGAAAAACCAGAGCATCATTGTGAATTGAAACTTGAAAAACGTATACTTTGAAATTCATGACGTCAATTTTGAAATTCATTTGTCATAAGTCGCACGATTCACTCATTTCGTATTGTGAAGATTAGAGGATTCCAATTTCCTATTTTTCAAAATTGAGCAAAACAGAGCTTGTTTTCCTTAAATGCCACTACAAAACTTCATTTTGATTCTTTTGATTCTGACGTTGGTTCACCGAACTAGTCGAGGGACAAGATTCAGCATGTGACCAGTTTGATCTCTCCTTCTGTTGTTTTTCACATGTGCCTACGAAATCTTAAGACTCCTCCCACTAGCTTCTTCTGAAAGCTCCGCCCCCTTATTGGACTGGGGAAAAACGCAGCCATCATTCTTCAGGATGATTCTATCGTGTCACAAATCTCCTCATGTCTAATTGTTTTGGACTCTTTTTGATTATTTCTAATTTTATGCGATATCATATTATTTTATGCAATATTCTTTGAGTTGCCGAAAGTTTAGAGATGTTCAAGGTGAGAATTGTATTATTCTAAAACACCTTGCTGTTTGTTTGTCATAATGTGAGTCCATGACACAATGTAGCTCTTTTCATTTCCAACCGATATTCATGGGGTTTTCACATAGAAAAAAAACTCATTTCAATAGTTATGCTCTTTTTTTTTCATTTTTCATTTTGAGCTCCGGAGAGTTCTGTGCTTAGACAGGGCTCACGATGGCCTCCCGCGACTAAGTTCTTAAAACTAGCGGGGAAGAAGGAGAGTAGGTCATCGCCGACCTCGGTTGATGTCGGCTGCGCGTTTTGTAAGAGAGTGGAAGCTCCGCTCACTTTGGGTTTAATTACCCGAGTTTGAGGCACCTCTGGAAAGCAGAAAGTCTACGCAAAGAGGCTATAAGGTTGAGGACTGACGGGAAGGCTGCGAGGCGATGGGCGGGTGACTTAGCCAGATAACCTAGTAGATTTTCGGATCTTGTTGGCCTGGAGCATTTAGGAACTCCTGAGAACGGAGATAGATGTATGTTGGGCGGACAATGGTTATAGTTTGATTGTAGACCGCTGACTTGCAACCACTAAACCATCTCTTTCAGAGCTTATTGATTTTTTTACAGATCGCTCTAAAACATTGTCAACTACCAGTCAAAAGCTGAACTTCACAATTGAAAAGATTCTCAACGGAAACACAAAGAAACCAGTCGAAACTGAACTTCAAGTACCAAGTTTCCCGGCAAATCCTATCATTCGACCAACTCAACCGGTCTTCAACGGACATATTTCTCCGTCAGGTTAGCACAATATAGTGCCACACATCTTTCAAACTTCTAGGAATTCTAGCTGACTGACAAACTTATTTAGATTCTATAAGAATAAAAGTTTTTTTCAGCCACCCCAACACCTCTAGTGGACATGGTCCTTCACCAAAAGGCGGTGGCCCATGTTCGGAAAACCTCAATCTGCCACGACTATTCGAGAATCATGTTCGGAAGGGGGCTGGGCAAAGAAAGCCCAAACGGTCAGACTTCGGTAGGTTCGAATATTAGGGTGAACCAAAAGTTTCCGCAAATCCGAGATTTTTCTCACTAGGACAGTTTTTTGAATCTAGTTTTTTTCATGATGGGTACTCACCACTTAGGCATAACCACTGCCAAAATCTCATCAGTATTCGTCACCTACCTCAAAAGATACAGTAAGTTATAAGGGTGTTGGTCGGACCCTCTTTTTCGGAAACCACTGTTCCCAAAAAGTTTTTTCCAATTTTTTGTATTAAAAACACTCATCTGAGCATGGATACTACACCTTCGAAAAATTATAACCAGATACCCACTCTCCGCCGATATTCATATTTTAGACCTCCCAACTTTAGGCTGTTCAGAATTTTTTATTCGAGGTGCTAAAATTTAGAAATGTGTGGATTATTTGCACACTAAGGAAGACCAAAAAGTTTCAAAAGAAAGTTTGATGAAAAAACAGAAATTAAAGGATTTTCAGTTTTTGGTCGAAATTTCAAGCCATTTTTGAATTTTCTCTAAAATGACAAAGAGTCGGTATCGGATCAAGATTTTTTTGGTGGTTGATACACAGGACCATACAAGTATTTCGATACGAAAAAATTGGAAAAATCTTTTTGAGAACAGTGGTTTTCCGAAAAAGAGGGTCCAACCAACACCCTTGTAATTTACTGTATCTTTTGAGGTAGGTGACGAATACTGATGACATTTGAGCGGTGGTTATGCCCAGATGGTAGGTACCCATCATAAAAAAACTAGATTCAAAAAACTGTCCCAGTGAGAAAAATCCCGGATTTGCGGAAACTTTCGGTTCACCCTAATAAAATGGGAATCTACAGTATCCCAAGTTATTTTAGAAGAAAAATGGAATGAGCTCACCAAAGCGGAGAAACAGGAATGGAAGGATCTCGTGCATGAAGCATCTGCGGAGCGGAATGAATAAATTCGCCTAAATTTCATCGTACAAAAGGGCTTAGAGAACAAGACCAGAAGAAAAAACGGGCGACCTTTAACGGGTTTAGGGTCTAAAACGGGTTACTGTAGTTTTTTCTGGGATTCTTCAAGGTTTTAGCAGTCAAATAAATGAATTTTAACAAAAAAAAACTTCGAAAGCAATATACATACGAAAATCGAGAAATACGGGAATCCAAACGACGAATATGCATCACTATCTTTCTCCTCCGGGGTAACACTGCTTATCCTTCCTCCGTTTCCTCCTTCTTGCACACCTAATAATTATAATCCGGAATGCTGCCGCGCCTATAAATCCCAGGTTTCAATTTCTTTCTGCTCTTTACCTTGAAGCATTGTTTTCGAGGTTAATTTTCAGATTTTTCGAAACAACTTGCGATGAAATCGTTTTTTTTTTTTTGAATTTTTTTTCGTAAATTTTTACATTAAAATGTGTGACTTTTTCAATCAATTTTATTGCATTTCAGTTTTTCTAAATCCTTGTGCTTGTAATTTTTTTTTAGGATGTACAAAGTACTTTGCCAAGCTCTATCCGATGGTATAAAAATCAAACTTGTGTGTATAAAAAGAAGTTGCCAAAAAATTACTGAAAGAACCCCATACCTGAAAATTGAAAGTCTCATGATTTGACTGCACAAAAAGTGTTTGGCACTGCCGAATAAATGGAAGGTTGTTACCAACGAGAATAAAAGGAATAGGATAAGTGTTATGGATGAAAACATCATTCCTGAAATTAAAAAACAAACCTTATTCTTGAAAAAAACCAATGCGATTCATCTGAGATTTATTTCAAATATACAAATGGCTATTCTCATACGAAGATATTTCTCATAAAAATTCTGAAAAGTACTAGAAACCGGAAATTGGCCATTAATTACAGTTTAAAAACATAGTACCAAAAAGAAAAAAAGGTTAGCCCACGGGAAGACTCGAACCCCCATGCCCGGTTCCGGAGTCCGGTGCCTTATCCATTCGGCCACGCAGGCACATCCGGATCACTGTATTCTGGAACTTATATAGTGACCATTCCGAAGTTTAGATCCGCACTTGAACTGAAAGCTTGCAGTGATACTGTATGTGGCAGGCGCCGCGCAGTTTTCAGTATATAAAGCCCTTTCGAAGGTGCGTAAATTGTGCCCGCGTGGCCTAATGGATAAGGCATCGGACTCCGGAACCGGGCATGGGGGTTCGAGTCCCCCGTGGGCTTACCTTTTTTTCTTTTTGTTTTGATAATTTTGAGTAAGTACAGAGTGAAAAATTCTGAATTTTATATAGTTTATGACCCCTGCCCCCACTCTTCTTATCAATAAGTTTATCCTCTATCTCTCCTCTTCTTATTCCCTTCTTTTGGTTGTTTTCCTCCACCACTTTTGTATGTTTTGTTTCCATCTCCGCTTTGCCGAATAACGCAGCCTCTCGATGTTTTCCTAAAAAGCACCTACAAGTTTTCTTTTCCAAATCTTTTGAATACTGCTTCAAACAAAAAAAATTAGAAAATTGCAAAATTATAGGCCACATCACAGAGCGTACTTTTACTTCTCTTTACTTTCTCTTTACTCTTGTCGCTTGCTCTGTCTCAGTCTCTTTCTCTACCCTATTAGAATATTCCATTCATGAGACGCAGAGACCGGTCGCCTGTGGGAGGATAACCTTCAGTCCCTAAGCAGTCTACCTTTTGCGTAATTTAAATATCGATTTACCTATTTTCTCAGTTTCAACCGATTTGCGATGCAATTTCGTAATGTTTTTTCTACTAAACAGATTCTTTGATTTTTTGCGAATCTAGAGAAATACTTTTTTCCATTAAATTTCCACAAAAATTCTAGTATTTCGCAAAAGAATTTGAAATTTTTCTCAACATTCAATGTTTTTTCAGTTTTGTTTTTTTTGAGTGGGGTTTTATGACTTTTTGTGAGTTCACAATTGACTTTGAATTTCGCAAAAAAGTTTCAAGAAATCAGTTGAGAGCGTTCTCTGTGTCTCTTCACTCTCTCCCCATGCCTCTCCATCATTTGGTTACTTCTGCGTCTCTACTCCCTTACCACATTACTTCTCCCCTCTCTGCCAGAAAAACCACAAGTGCACAAGAATGCTGGACTTGTCCATAAGTTTTTATTACTGTCTCAATGCGTCGTCAAACCTTATTTTAGTTTTTCGTGTTCCTTTTTTCATCGCTTTCAGAATCTAGTTTCCAATGATAATCGTTAATTTTACAGGTTTAGATCAAACTATGGCGACTTCTTCTGAAGAAGCACGAAACTCGAACAAGGGAAAAGATGGAAAGGTGGTGCGAAAGAGAATGAAGAAGGGCGATGAAGAGGAGGGGGGATGGCTTCCGAAAGATCCACACACTGTGAGTTTTTAAATGGCGTATGATTTACACAAAAAAGTAATCAAATCAAAAAATACCTGATTTAAGCTAGTCTGAAACGTAGTTGGATCAAAGTGGTACTGTGAAAAAGTTCAACAAGAATATAATCAGAACAACCGTACAAGGTACTTTGAAACTACATGATTTTCAATAGTTCGAGATAACTTAAAGTGAAAAATTTGATGCCACACAAAGTAATGAGTATGAACAAAACTATACATTTTTAGATGCCAAACTGGTTCCACGCCAAGACATTTAAAATGGACGAATGGACTTCAAAAACAATGGCGACTTCTTCGGGACAAGCACAAAAATCGAGCAAGGGAAGAGATGAAGGTGTGGTGCAGAAGAAAGTGAAGAAGGATGATGAGGAGGAGGAAGAATGGTTCTCGAAAGCAATTCAGAAGAAGAAAATCATGGATGCACTCACCACACACGAGAACCCGACGGAGAAAGAACGCCAAGAAATCGCAGAAAAGCTTCATATGGATCCGTTCTATGTGAGTTTTCAGTTGGCTTTGTTTCACACCAAAAGAAGTATTAAAACCAAGTCTGACACGTAGTTAAATCAAATTGGCACTGTGAAAAAATAAACAAGAATATACATCTGACAGATGAATCAAAATATGGCGAACCCTATTGAACTTGAATTAGAATTTTGATAAAAAACACTTGAAATCAAAAAAAAAAGCGTAATGGATGCTCAGCAAATGAATTAGATCAACCCTACGAGGTAGTAAGCACATTACCACTACATGATTCGTAATAATTTGAGATTAAAATACTGATAATCAAAGTTTTGATGTCACACAAAGTAATGAAAATGAACAAACTATACATTTTCAGGTGAAATATTATTTCGACAGCAAAGACGAGATCCTAGAAGTCGAGAAGAAGCATGCGGAACTGGAGGCCAAAAAAGCTCACCTCGCCCAGAAAAAAGCAGCAAAGCTGGAGGCAAAGAAACAACGTCGCCACAAAGTCGAAGGAACCAGCAATGATGGACGTCGTGCTGAAGCAGCTGGCGAAGAGAAATGGGACGAGGACAATGTTGAGGTGAACAGAGAAGAGATGTGAACTAATTGTTTTCTGCTTCCATTCTTTTTGAAATTCTTCCAATAATGAACTGTTAAAACGTTATTTGTGTTTGTATTTCAAAATGAACATAAAAACATACAACAAGCAAAACAATATTCAAAAAACAATCTGAAGAACGTCGAAGCGACTTGAACAGATGTCTCTCTATAATTAAGAGAATTTCGTTATTTTTTGGTTTTTTAAACATTTTTAGAGATTCTCAGACATGAAATTCTTTAGTACTATTCCTGTGCAAAAAATGAAAGAGCCCGGACAACTTCAATTTTTTGAATTGCATAACTATTCTGCTGAAAACACTTGCTGGTCAATTTTTGTTCTGACGTGTTATTTTTCCTTCAAAAAAAAACTATTCTAGACTACAATATTCGAAAATAAAACTTTTTGAAAATATGCTGAAAATGTAAAAAAAAACGTATTGATTCCAGGAGTTTTCAGCCTTTCTCGAGCTTTCTATTTCTGAAGTGCAAACTTGTGTGTATTAGAAGAAGTTGCCAAAAAAACTACTGAAAAAACCCCATACCTGAAAATTGAAAGTATCATGATTTGACTGCACAAAAAATGTTTGGGACTGCCAAAAAACGAAGGTTTTTACCAACGAGAATAAAAGGAAGAGGATGAAAAAATTATTCCTGAAATATAAAAAAACCTTATTCTTCGAAAATTCCAATATGGATGCGATTCAGTTGGGATTTATTCCAAATATACAAATGGATATTCTAATATGCTTTGGGAAAAAAGGAAAAGAAAGGAGAAAAGAAACGGAGGGAAAAAGGAAACGAAGGGAAACAAGGAAACGGAGGCTCCGTTTATGGAAAAAAAGCTGAATTTATCTGAACATCTGAATGTACACTCGGTTTCTTGTTTTTTCTGAAAAACGCTGGGAGAAAAAATTTATTCGTATTTTCAGGTCGAGAAGCTGTGTTATTTGGCAAAGCGGAGATGGAAACAAAACATAAAAAAGTGGTGGAGGAAAACAACCAAAAGAAGGGAATAAGAAGAGGACAGATAGAGCATAAACTTATTGATGAGAAGAGTTGGGGGGGGGGGGTCATAAACTATATCAAATTCAGAATTTTTTCACTCTGTACTCACTCAAAATTATCAAAAGAAAAAGAAAAAAAGGTTAGCCCACGGGGGGACTCGAACCCCCATGCCCGGTTCCGGAGTCCGGTGCCTTATCCATTAGGCCACGCGGGCACAATTTACTCACCTTCGAAAGGGCTTTAAATACTGAAAACTGCGCGGCGCCTGCCACATACAGTACCACTACATGCTTTCAGCTTGAGTGCGGATATAAACTTCGGATTGATCACTATGTAAGTTCCAGAATGCAGTGATCC